TTCCCAGCATTGTTTAGGACTGGCTCTGTACTGAGGGGCTTTGCTGATGGCATGGTAAGATGGTTTAGGGATGGGGATGGGATGGTGATGCCAGTTGCCTTGATTACCTGCAATCAGGAAGGGCTGTATCATCCCCAGCTGCAAGACACTGTGGAGCTCCCTGAGAGGGGCACATCATGCTGTGTCTTCTGGCAGAGAGACCCTGGGCAGGAGGAGAAGGCATCTGGGACTTCCTCCACAGCTGTGGACTTGAAAAAGTTTCCAGTAAAGTTTGTCTGTACATAGCGCCATGAGCAGTGGCTTCATTGGAAAGGAAGAGCAATGTTTCTGTTGTTTCCTTTCCACCATAATACTTTGATGGAGCCCCTGCCTGATGCAGAAGTTCCCTATTAACACTCTGGAACCTTTGCAGTACTTAAGTGCTTCTCTGATTTTTCCCTAGATCATAGGCCAGGTTTATGCTGACCCAGACTGTCTCCCACGCACACTGGATTTTGGCCTTAATGTCAAGCTGTTCTGGGAGAAGTTTGTTCCTGCTGATTGTCCTCCAGCCTTTTTCCCTCTGGCTGCTATTTGCTGCAGACTGGAACCAGAGAGCAGGTAGGTTTGGGGTCTTTGGAAGCCTGCAAGATGTGTCTGTATTCCCATAGTGGAAGCACTGCCCTGCACAGAGGGCAGCTCCAGCCTTCTATAGGAATGCTCAAAGGCTTCCATGAGAGACTTCACACTCAACAGTTTGGGAGAGAGACTGCTGTGTTTATGGTGGAGATGTCTGAAACAATTCCAAGACAGAGACAGTAAAGGAGGAATGATCGTTCAAGATTTCTCAGGCACCAAGAGTAGGGGCACACTTTGACAGTAAGGTAAATACTCAATTTGATTTCAGTTATGAAACCTGTAGCTTCAGAACAGTGTTGCTGCCAAGTAAGTTCCAAAGAGCCAGACCTCCCTGGTCACTCACTGGCTATAAAAATGGGTAGCCCAGACAGATGAGGGCTTTGAAGCTTGGAAGCTGAACGGGGAGGAAATCTTGGCCCTGTTCACCACACTGTACATGGTACAGGGACCCAGATGGACAACTAGCTCAGCCTTTCCAGATGCTGTTCTGCTTTCTCTTTCCTATTTATGTTTCTCACTGCTGTTTCTAGGCCCCCCTTTTCCAAGCTGGAAGATTCCTTTGAAGCTCTCTCTCTGTACCTGGGAGAACTTGCCATCCCCCTTCCATCTGAGCTGGAGGAGCTGGACCACAATGTGAGTGTGCAGTACGGACTGAACCGTGACAAGCTACCTGAAAACACTACCTAGTGCGCTCGTGCTGCTGCCTGCATCACTTCCATTGGAGCTGGGATGAGCATCAGGGAGGGAGATGCACTTCAGCCACCTCCAGGGCATTAACGGAGCACCATGCTGTGCAGCTGCTGCACTGCCTCTCTCTCCCCACCCAACTTCCCTCCTCTTGGATATCCTGATTCACTGTGGATTTCTGGCGTGTTTCAGAAGCAAAAAGGACTGTTTCCTGCCAGCTGCACCTAGGAAAGCCTCTGAACACTATTTTTCTGGCTTGAGAAAATGTTCTCTGGCCTTTTCAGGCTTCTTTACTGTGGTGCCTTAGAACTTGGCTGCAAGCTGTGAAGCCACCCTGGCCTGTCTGCCAGGGAGGGAATTGCTATAGGAGATTCTCCTGGGTAAGGACCAGCACTTCTGGAACAGCTTCTCCCACTGACTGCCCTGCCCAGAAAGCTGGGGAAATTGGACATCCAGCAATGTGTCCCACCAGGACAGCACATGTATGTATTTGCATGTGTTTCCCAGAACAACCCACTGAGATTTTGGCCTCTGACACACATCAGAGGAAGGAGTAAAAAGCCCCAGGAACTGGGCAGCTCTCCTGAAATACCTTGTCTCTGGGGAAGCACATATGAATTGTTGTTTTGGTTTTGTGGGCTTTTATTCCTTCTGTGTCTCTGAATACCTCCAAAAGCCTGCCTAGAAACACTAAGACTGGGCTCTGCTTGCCCCTCCTGATGGCAAATGAGGCAGGTGGCAAATGAGCCACTGGAGCATTTTCAGCCCCTGGCGCCTGCAGTGAGTTTGCCTGCCCAAAACGTTAACCTAGGTGAAAGTATTTGAACCTGAATGTGTAGTTCTGCACTAGGCACTGGGTGTGGACATTCCTGAGTGCTTCAGCTCTTGCCCTGCGGATGTGAGGTGACAGAAATGGTGGCAGAAGGTGCTTGTCAGAAAGCCAAAGGTTTGAAGTGGCTCAGACCTTAGGCATGGACAATGACAAAAGGGGACTTGCCCCAGGTTAGTTAAAGGATGGACTTGTTATGACTAGAAAAGTGCTGGAGAATGTCCCATCCTCCCTGGAGTGGCAGCTGGAGAGCTAATAATTCAGTTGCCACTACCTCATCCTTTCCTGCAGACTGTGCAAGTTGCTCCCTTTGAAGGTCCTTCTTGCAGCTGCTGCTGCAGCACCTGAGCTGATTCTCTAAACAGAAATTTTCCTCAGGGTTATTCCCTGCTCTGGGGGTGGGGGGAAGGCCTTGGAGTCATTGGGAGGTGGCTAGGGGTGTATTTTCTTCCTTGGTGGGAGAAGGAAGGAAGAAAGCTACTGCTGCAGTAGTTCACATGGTTGGCAGAACTGAACAAAAAGCTGGATCAAGTTCTGCTCGTAAGTCTCACAAACATCATGGTTTAACTGGATTTTTAGTGTGCTCCTTTTCCCCTCCCCCTCCCTTCAGCATTGAATGGTGGGGAATGGGTGTTAGTCTTTGCTGTTACTTTGGTTTCCTCCCCCTACCCATGAGTTTAAAGTATTATGTAAAATAACATGGGGCCAGCCATCACCTGACATCAGGTATACAAAGGGGGTGTTTTTAGTCTGTGTAGTGGTGTTTTAGAAACACTGGGGACTCCCTGTGCTGTGAATCAGGCAGGAGCCTCTAAACTGGATCCAGTGGATCCAGGATTGTTAATAGGATTTGCCCTTTCATTCCCCCCTCCCAGGCTGGTTTGTGAGGGGACCCGTGAAGGGAGAGTCCTGGGTGATGTGTGGGTGGGGTTTATGAACTGTGATTTGCACAGCCCCACGTTCTAACTAAATTAAAAAGCAGTCACTGTATGCTCTTGAGAACAAGATTGTTGTGGTCTCTGTGTTAAATAAAGCCGGAAGCTGTAACTTTCTCGGGTTTCTATTGTAGTCACAAAATGGCAACATCAAAACTGCCCAGATGAGATGAGGTACCGTCTAGAACACCCTGTTTTGAGTCAGTGGCCTCTGCCACATTCACAGAACTGCAGAATCACAGTGCAGTGCTCTGAAGGACTATTTACCTGGAGTGAGGGAAAGGGAAGTTCAGTTCTGTTCATTTGTTGGTTGGTTTTTAAGGGTGGACAGGAGTCAGCAGATCATGGAGCCTCTCTCCATTTTCCTTTTCTAAGCCAGAGATAAATACAGCCTGTTCTTGGAAACATTCTGAAATATGTCGTTCAGGGGACGCTTGTTAAGACAACAACTGAACAAAAATCCTGGCTCTGTTAGTACCTCCTGTGACCTGCTGTGCTCTGTCTCCATTGTGCTTCTCAAGGGATGGAGCTGCTGTTGAGCAGCACCAAAGCAGAGCTGACCCAGGTCAGTGCAGGAAGGGGCTGTAACCCCTTGTGTGTGTTCCCATGGGCCAGTCTGCTGAGTCACCCACAGCTCACACCCCCACAGCTGCTTTTCAGGAACTGTCCCAGTCCACGAGCAGCTGCTGGCAGCTGCTGACAAGCTCTATGCCCTTTCAGTGGTGCTGAGTGCAGGCACTGCTTGTAGGGATTTACCTTTGGGCCTGACAACCTCAAATGGTATCTTCCCATCTCCTCAATTCAAAGTCTGAAACAAGGCAAAGGATGCTGCTCTGGCAGGAGGAATGCACAGATGAGCCACAGTCCACACAGGTCTACAGAGCATTCTTCTTTTAAGCTTTAATACAAGGTAGCACAGTTTGCACCTTCTCATAATGAGGTATTTAAAACATTTTACAAAGAAATGGTATTCAAAAGCATTTAAAAATAAAATATTTCCCTTTTCTCAATCAAACATTAACACTAAAACCCCTGCTGCCAAGTGCTGCTCCCTGTTAGGCCCACAGCTATAAAGCAGATGGCTGGAAAACTTACTTGAATGGCTTGAGTCCCCTGAAGCGGGGACAGATGTTTCCCTGAACTGGCCTTGCCTTGGTGCCATTAGGGAGACATTGCAGCAAACCATTCCTTCCAAACCTCCTGAAATGCTAATAAAAGTTGTTACAAAACCTCTCTAATAGGCCCAGGCTCTGTAAGTAAGTAGTCTTGCTGCACAAGCTGAGTGTGTGACAGAGGCTGGGCCAGGAGCTCCACCAGAACTTCAGTATCTTACAAAACTGCTGCCCTGTTCTGTCCTTAGAGCCAGAACTGCTGCAGTGTGATCAGGGTGACCTCCACAGCTTGGCCACTCTGTCCAGCACTGGCTCTGTAGGAAGCCAAGGGAGTTCAAAAGAGGATGTTATCTGTCCTCAGTGTTTAACCTGCAGTAAGTAACTGAAGGGCAGTTTGTTTTCTTCATTCCACAACTCTATCACACGCCCTTGCTTTCCTGATCTAAGTGAGCAGGAGGCACAGACAGACTCCCTGGACACCTACAACTGTGGCTGTGCATGTAGCACCACAGGGGAATGGAGAAGTGGCCTCAGCCCTGGAAGACCTGGATTTGTCAAGAGCTTGAGGAGAGCAGTGGGGCTAAACATACTGCTTCTGGCCAAAGATATCCCTCAAATAAGCTCTTCCTTGGGAAAAAACCTGATCCAGTAGCAAGATTCTGGAAAGTGCTTCCAGCTCTCAGCCACTAAAGCAAAAAGGCAGGAACTATAATCAGAGTGTAATTATCTAGCTAAGTCTGACATGAAGCTCCCCTCAGTCCCTGCAGTACTGTTCTCTCCTGAGGTTCCAGGCTGAAACTTAAGTAACAGTGCACACCATTAAATAGGAAAAGAACAGAAAAAGAGGAAGCCACGCCCACACTCCGGGCTATGGGACCTGTGGCCAGTTGTAAGCCTGGCCCCTCATCCCCCCCAGCTCCTTGGCACACCATGGAGATAGGTGGGAGGAAGTAGCAGGGTCCACCACACCAGTCCCCAGCTGGTCATGCACTGAAAGGTGCCCCTCAAACAGATGATGAATAGCCCATTGTGTTCCTCTGCATCACCTTCATCCGGCGTTCATCGAAAAGAAAACAAAATAGAAATGAACACACGCAACCCCTGCACTCACAGTGGGAAGCTGGAGGCTTTGCTCAGCCTGTAGCGCTCCTGCTTGAGCTGCTCAGGCACCAGGAGTCCCCGCCTGCCCCATGAGGGGGCCGCTGCCGTCCCGCGTGTCCCCCACGGGGGTCTGGCTGGTGTGCACCTCGATGGTGTTCTCATCCACCAGCTCGCACGCGGGGTTGCTGAACGCTGACAGGGGCAGCGTGATGCGCTGCATTTCACGCTCATAAACCTTCTGCTCGTGCTTCTCCTTCAGGTCTTTCCCCCTGCATTACAACAAAAACAAAACATACATGGGGTGAGTGCTGCTGCTCGGAGGGAGAGTCTCAGTAAACCTGGTATAGTAGAGAAGAAGTGGCTCAGCTCTTTAGGATAAACAGAGTTTTCAGCTGCGTACAAAGGGCCAGAAATATTCCCTACTGTAAGCAGAGCACCATAGCTGAGCATCTTTGAAAAACAAGCAGCCAAGTGAAGTCTGTCCCTCCCTCAAACTGGCCTATTGACTGACATTGCTTCTGATAAATGACTGTAAAGCCAGGCCCCTCCTTCAAACCACAGAGCTGCCATATGTTTCCTTATCCTTTACAGTCCCACAGCACTGCCTGGCACAGGCCCAGGGGAGAAATGAGACAGTGCAGAGGCCACTGCTGTGGAAAACAGCTTCTGTAACCTGCTACATCTGAAATAAATACTGGAGGTGGTGACAGCTTCTGCCTTTTGCAGCAAATTAAGCTGTCCAGAAAGTATTAAAGCTGACTTCAGAGCTGGCTCTGCCTTCTGTGCCTTCTGCCACTGCAGCTTAATGCCACAATCAGCTCCTCAAACCTACCTCAGTCTCCAGCCTGTTGCTAAGGAAAGGACACCTCTGTAATTTGTGCTGCAGAAGAACTGCCTTGCTTTAAAAATGGATTTAGCATTAATAGCATGTTGTCTCCGGAAGAGCTATGTATACCAAAAACTACTGAACTCATTAAAGGTTTCTCACCACACCTACTACCCAAACCTGCCAGCTTGCACATGCAATTTTGAGATCAAGGCAAGGAGGGAGACAGTAAACCTGCACTACAGCCCTGCTGTGAGCTCTCTGTGACTGGAGAAGCAAAGCTGCATTTGGACAATTGGTCTATTGGTTCCTCCTGCTGAGGATGAGAGAGAGGTGGGACCGGCACCACTCCCTCCTCCTGAGGCTCGTGATCTCAAGCAGGCAGAGCTGCTGGGGTTTCCTGTCAGCATTTTGGCTGCTTTTCAAAGCTGCCTACAAGCGTGCAGCAGTGGCTGCCGTTCCTGCCAGCACACAAGACAGCATTCTCTGAAGTGACACCTCAAATCAGATTCCTCGACAAGCAGCGCTCTGTGTTTTGCCCCTTATGTAACACTCCTCCCTCTGCTTTTTTTCTGTCAGCATTTATTATAAACACTTACATAAGGACATGTCCCAGCTTGGGAAAGGGCTCCTTCTACTTGGTTGTGTCAGACTGTTGTCAAACAGCCAAAACACAGAACAAACCCTCCCAGAGGAGGGAGCCTAGGCTTTCCTTGCTGCAGCGACAATCACTGCTATTTGTTAATCCTGCCCTCTCTTACATCTAAGCAGCTTGCTACTGCCACTGCCCTCAAACACTGCCGAGCTACAGAAACATTTCTGTCCAACACAGTCAACTGGCTGAAAAAAAGAATAACTGAAGTCCAAATCAAAACTGACCTTAAAGTATACAGGAGCTTTGTTAAAATGAACTTTGACCAAAAAAAAGTGCTACCTGATAGTCAGCTTCATAGGATACAATGCATGAGTAGCAAAAAAAAAATTGCCAATTGGTTTTCTTCTAAAGATAGGCTAGAGAAATCAGAGGAACAGGTGGCCTGGTAGAAGGATTGTTCTTTTTTTGATCAAAAGAAACTTCCTGTGAGGGCACCTGGGATCTGCTCTTTCCAGTTGTTACAAAATCCTGCTCCCCTGGATACATCTGAAAAAGCCACGTCAAGGTGCACATGCACATACAAAAACCCAAATAATAAAGAGGGCAATTTGAAACTTCAGCTGAGACAGAACATCACAATAATGGGGGAAACTGAGAACAGAGTTAACTCTTCAGTAGTTCTTTCCTCAGCGTGACAAGTAAACTTGCTCAATGTACCATAACCAAACATATATTTCTGTTCCATTTCCTTAGGATCTGGTTGGGTCTGCAGGTTCTCAGACATTCCTGCTCTATATACACCAGCTTTTGAACAAAGAACAGCCACTCACCTCTTATAGATGTATCCCACGACAATTCCAGCCCCGATGGCAATGATTATCACCATCATGATCAGCCCCAGCACATAACCTTTGAAAAGAGAAAATAAAAAGAGACAAAATTAGAGGCAGTAGATCCAACTATAATGTTGCTTGCAGGGTCTTAAAACAGGTCTGTCCTGCCAGAATTGCAGGAATGGATCCATCGTGTGATCCTGGCTTTGTACCTAGTATCCCTAAGTCCTTCTTTTCTTTGGAGTTCATCTGTACTCTCTGACTGATCCCGATGACAGGCTGCACTGCGGCTGCCTCGCTCCGGGACGGCAAAGTATCAGCTGGTTCAAACACCTGCTCATCCTCCTGGGAGGCACCAACTTCTCCTGTAGGGACTGGGGCTGTGCTAGCTGTAGCATCTGGAGAGAGGGGAAAATAAAAATATATAACATACCAAGCACTTATGAGTACTTCAAAACAACATGTGCCTTGAGAGTGGGACAGCTCTAGACTGGTATCACTGAACTACCTTCAAAGCACACTGAAAAACACTTGTTCCCTCTTAAATTGTTGCCAGAAGTCCTACCAAAGTAGACAAGAAATGTACTCTTCCCCCCACTTTCCTCTGACATGAACCTATTTAACTAAGAGTCCAAGGCACCCCCACAGATGAGAGAAGTCTGACAGCAGAATGAAACCCAGGTTCAGGGCATGAGTCCAGAGGATGCACAATGACTTCATTTAGTGTATAGATCGATATACAGGCTGCAGCTTCAATCATGCTGAACAGACGTGAACAAGATTATGAGAATCTCCATCCCAAATCTCCCAGGAGCCTATTTATCTCTCTTCTGCCTCAATCTTCCTGACACAGGGAAGTTTGACAGGAGACTCCAGCTGATGTGAAAACCTGGGGATTTTCTTCCCTGGCCTTCTTTGCAGTGGTGTACCAAACTCTGATAGTCTGGGACACCACAGGACAGGCTAAGACAGAGCAGCCCTCAGGCAGCACAGCCATTGACTTAGGACAAGTTCCTCCTCAGCCAAGGCCCAAGGTTACAGGTTCCTTCCCAGCCCTGTTTTTTATCAATGCTCTTTTTCATCAACAGCACTGAAAGATTTTCAAGGCAGCTCCTTCTTTCATGACATAGTTTAAATAGAAGCTGTAGCACTGTAAAAGCTGTGACAGTGCAAAGTAGGTATCTATTACCTGTTCACACAAACCCCCTTCCTTTTTGGAAATGCTATTCACAGTATGCATCCACACCTGAAAATTCACTCCACCTGCATCTCCCCCCACAGCAGTCAATGACTCTATGTGGATTTTCTATCTGCAGCCATTTTGAGTCTTCAGTGGAATGTGAAATGGAAGTACAGAAGGGAGTCAGAGACAGGAAATCAGGGGTCCTGCACAGCTAACTTCACGTAGGTTAAGCCAGGGCAACTGAACTAAAGTGAACTGTTGGAGCATGAAAAGGTGCCCACTCCGAGCTGCAAAAATACAAAACCTATTAAGCATGCAAATGGCTGAAAAGTCAGGTAACTCTTCTGATCCTAAAGCTGCAAGAGTGTTTTGAGTAAGGATCTTGGCAGCAGAACATTTTTTTTGCTTCATCTTTAGGGAAAAGCAGGCCAAAAAAAGAGCAAAGTGACAAAAAGGGGAGGGTGTATGTGCGTGGGAAAAGTATTTACATGCAAAGATAGTCTCAAGGGACAGTGGTACGAGTACATCTTGCAGGGCTCAGAAAGTAGTAAACAGTTCAAAAAACCCCAAGTGGTTACTCTGGTGTCAGTCAATACTGACACCTCCTCTCCCTGAAACAGGCTTCAGCTACAGTTCCTTTGGCAAACTGTTTCTCACTGTGACTATCCAGGAAGAATCCAGTGTTTCCATTTCTTACTATCCTCCCTTCTAGTTCTCATTTTTTCCACATTCTTCCTCTGCACCCCGTACTCAAATTCCCGCTGGCAATCTTTTTAACAGCAGGAGGCTTCTTCAGTCAGCCGTAACAAGCCCCACAGCAACAGTCTACCCACACCTCAGCAGTTCCTGGATGTCCAGACCTCAGCCTTTTGCAACATAGCTAGAGAGCGCTATAGTGATAAGTGGATTATGGGGGAGTGGGGGCTTTTCACAGGCTTTTTCTAGCACTAATGGAAAAGCTCTAGGGGCGGAGCACGGCATAGCTGGAAGCAGATGTGCACACACAGGCGGGGGCTGGAAGGGAGCCCTGGGTACGCGGTGTTTCCGAGGAAGGTGCCGGCGTAGCCCGGCGTTGTTTGTGCGCAGGGGGGACCCTACCCTGGTGACAAAGGCAGCCCCCCGCGGTACGGGGCCGGAAGAGAGGGGGGCCGCCGGCGGCCGCTCTTACCTGAGCACTGGGCGATGTCGCAGGATCGCCGCTCGGGGATCCCGGTATCGCCTTGGATGTAGCACCAGGGCGCGGCGTCGCCGTCCGGGTTCCTGCAGCTGTTGTGGTCCTCATCGACTGCCAGAGAGCAGCGGGCCGTCAGCGCGGCCGCGGCACCCTCCGCTCTCCCGAGACCCCCCCCCACCCCGCGTCCCCCGGCCGGGACCCACCTGCCGGGAGCGCGGCGCCGGAGCCGCTCCGCACCGTCAGCCAGTTGAGGCACGGGGCGCCGCCGGAGGCCACTTGCCGGCTGCCGCGGTAGGACGCGCCGTTGCCGCGGAGGCACTCTGCGGAGAGACGAGACGAGCCTTGCGGGCGGCCCGGGCAGCCCCCGCCGCTCCGGGCCGCTCCCCAGCACGGCACCCGCCTTCCCCACGGGGGGGTCTCTCCTCCCGAGACCGGCCTTTGTCCCCCACAAAGCCGGGCCGGCACTCACCCTCGGCGCCGCGGGCGGCCCCCAGCAGCAGCGAGCCCAGCAGCAGCACAGCTTGCAGCATCCTCGGCGCGGTGGGCGAGGAGCCGCCGGCAGCCCGGCCGCGCAGCTCGGCTCCGCTCGGCACCGCGGCGAGACCTGCCCCGGCGCTCCCCTCCCCGGTAAACAAGCGCCGGGCTGCGCTTCCCCCCCCCGCCCGCAGCCGCCGCCGGGTCCTAACGCTGCCGCTGCCGCCCGCCCCCAGGAGGGGAAGGGGCGGCTGCTGCGGGGCAGGGCTCGGGCCAGCCGGGAACCTGCTGCCGGGGCTTCCTTCGCCCCGCACCGAGCACGGCGGTCGGTGCTCGGCGCCGCGGGGCTGTTTGGCTCGAGAGGAACTCCGCGTCCCTAGGCTTGGCTCCTACAGTCGCAGAAAAAGTCTGAGACCAGAAGAGGAGACTTTCCACACGGAACTACGCTTGAACACTCCCTGTGGCAGGAAAAGTGTTTATCTTCAGAGACCTAAAACTGCTCTCTCCACTAGAGAATTATCATGAAGGACTAAATCCTGCTGCCCTTATTTTCCCTTTGGGTTCCCTTAGCTCTAAGGAGATGTGGTGGGGGGGTACACACTTCCACGGAAGCTGTGCACCTCCACCTTAAAGTGGTTTACATTCTCACCTCTGCTAATCCATTACTTTTCACTGACTCCATGTACTTACTCTCTGTGCCTGCTTGTAGAAAAAAACCAAGGTAAAAAGCATGAAGATGGTTTAGAGTACTTCTACTGCAGGCATCCAGCCACTGTGATAAAGCCTCTCTGCAGACATTTCACAGGGCTTACAATAGATACTTCTGTTTCTGAACACGCCAAGGGATTCAGACAGTGCAGTGCCAGTGCCTGTACACAGGTATGTGGAGTCCTCAGCACTGTTTCTATTTTACACCAGTGAAAAATAAGCCACTGAATAGCTGGTCCTGTTCGACAATGAGCTTGCAAAGGCAGCCTGGGCCAACTGATGGGTTTGTAGCCAAGGCACAGGCCTGCAGCACTGGGTGCTATTTCTGGCTTTCCCACAGAGCTTCCTGACCTTGGCCAACCTGCCTGCCTCACTTCTTTGCTTTGCTTTCCTTTCCTTTCCTTTCTGTTACATGAGGTACAATCAAACCTTCCTTCTTAGAATAGGACAGGGAAGTTCCCTTCTTTTAAAGTTCTTTGAAATCACATGGAAACTGTTGAACACATAAAAAGTATTTCTATGCCAGGAAGCTGCTTCAGTGTTTGATGAAGTACTTTTCAAGGCAGTGCTGGCTGGAGCAGTGGTCTTTCCCTTCCACTCCCAGATGTTTCCATCCTGGCAGTGCTCTCTGTCAGGCTGCTGCAGGTAATTGTGTAACAAACCTTCTCAAGGTTCTGATCCAACCCCCCAATTTGTGCCCCTTTTTCACCAGGTCATAAACACTTTAAGCCCTTTACAGCCAGGTCACCAGCTGCATCCAGTCCATAATGGAGCCACAAAAACACATGTACCAGCATGATAGATGGGTAATGAGGAAACAGGTCAATTAAGCAGCACTGCTGCCAAGTATGAAACCACAGGTCTTAGCACACATTTGTGTGACTCACGGTTTAACAACATGATTTACCACTACAGAAAATTTAGTTTAGTAATGTCAGATTAAAAAAAACATGGTTGCAAAAAAAATAAAACGGGAAACCAAAAACCAACTGTATGTGCCAGTCCTGACTGACATCAAGATGCAGCCTTTGTGCCATTATGCTCATTGTCTGCACAGACACTCTGTTACTGCATTCCTCATGCTCTCCAGTTACTCTCTGTAAAGGCAAGGCTAACTGGAGTCAGCAAGAATTTTTAATAAGGGCTATTCAATCAAGCCTCCTGTTTGTAATAGCCCTTCATCACAGATTTTATGGGACAAATTCCATTCAGGAGAAACTGCAGGGCCACACATGCATCCAGAGGCACTGCCTGTCCAAACCTTTGCAGAGGGACTGCCAACCTGAACAATTAATTTCTTTTTGCTCATTTCATGAGACTAACTAATGCTTCCATGCCACCTAGCATAGAAAGCACCTCCTTCTGTACATACTGATCTAAGAACTGCAGTAATCTCTGTGGAAACAAATCTCAGACCTTGCTAGCTCTCTCTCCTACTATGTAACAATATAAATTTGCACTTCTCATTACACCCAGCCAAGTTCCAGCAAACAATTTGAGTTTCTAGTCCACAGAAGGACAATGGGCAATCTGGGAGAAATGCAAAAACCTTCACATTAATGGTAAAGATCAAAGTCTTTCCCACAACTGACTTCTAAGCATAATTTTTTCTTTCATCTCTAGCTTTCTCCAGGATGAGGGAAGATTTATGCCTGGCAGTTTCACAGAGTTAAATTTAATAGGATGCCAGGTGGCAGCTGTCAGAGGCAGACTCAATTGCTCTTTCCACTGCTTCAGAATGGGTTTGCTCTTCTTGCTACACTTTTAGAGATTTAACATGACATTATTTCCTAGGACTTGATTTTAAACTACCCAAACTATAACCAAGTAATAGCTTTACAGCTACTTCCTCACATAGTTTACACTTAGATGTCTGTAGGTATACACATATACATATATCACAACACATCCCCATATTTTACAGGGGCATATATACACTATTTTTAGGAATGAGAGACATTAAACATTCACCCTAAACTCAGTGTGAACCAGTTTCAGCTGTGAGCTGGTACCTTTCTTTATACAGGTTCCAGAATGAATAATGTCTGCTTTCTCTCTCTCCTGTCTGTTAGCTGCTCTTTCTTGTTTCTTTGTTCTACTTTTTCACCTGTGGAAAAATACAAAGTGTTTTGAGATTTAAAAAAAAAAAAAAAAAAGGAATCTAACATATAGCACAGAAGTCTGTGCCAAGGGAGGCAACCCCAGATCTATAGCTCGGGAATGACTCCACGAGAAGCCATCAAACCCATCCTCCTCCTCTGGCCACAGCCAAGTGTGGTCTTGCCACAGGTCTTGCCAGGCAGAAGTTCATCTAACCTCCTGTGCAAGAACTAACATGCTTTATTACTTAATCTTACCAAATAAGATAGTGAGGGGAGTAAACAAAAATGAGTTTTCTAATCTGAGTAATCTTTCTTAGCCAAATTAACATGGATTGCTTAGAATGGAAAAAGTTGACCATTGCCCTCCCTGTAACAGGTCATACGTCATGTTCCCATAACCTCCCCTTTCTTCTTCCTAGGTAACCAAAATAATTGTTCCAGTTTTCCCCAAAACTCGTTTTTCTCAATTTTCTGCTTCTTTCATAAATGGCAATGCTTAAGAATAATGATAGCACAATTCTGAGGCCTCACCATGAGCAGAATATTAGAGCAGTTTGTGCTTAATCTTAAAAAGCTGCAAGCATCAAATGTTACTAAACACTCTTAAGTACTTGAGTACTTGCAACTCCAACAAAAGCAGGGGTTTAATTTCTTTGCTGCCTCTCTCTTGATCATGAAAACAACTGTGGGTCTCTCCTGTAAAAAGCCTTCTGTAAGCAACGGTGTAGGAGTTAGAAATAAACGTGTTTCATTTCTAACCTAGATACAATTTGAATGTAATAACATCAGAACTGCAACAGAAGGATCAGATATTGACTTTATGAAACTGAACAGAGTGCAACCAAAAATCAAGACAGGGGCAGTGACTACAAAGGAGACGGTGCGGAGCCACAGGACTCTGCTGGCACTGTTGCATCGCGCTGCTGACATGCTCAAGGAGAGGCTTTCTCCTCCCCCTTCAGTCTGACAGCATGAGCTATTGCTAAGTAAATGCCAGCCACAGCCTCTAAGGACTAACAAGGAAGTCTGCAGAATCAAAACAACCATATGCGATATTTGAACTGGTTCAGACTGGTTCAGAGTTTGCTCCACTAACTCAGAGTGCTTTCTCAGATGCCTTTTCTGTGTGGGCTGTAATAAAAGGCCAGAGGCCTCGGGAGGGCAGTCCGTGTCCTATTGTTTACTGGGGAGAAGCACGGCAGCTACACTTCTGCAGCATTAAGAGATTAGCACTAAATACTCTCGGCAATCAGTGACTTAAGAAATTTCACACACTGAGTCCTCTCTGACAGCATCATTTTTTTGTCCTTTTTTGCCAAGAACTGCTCAGTGCCTTTCCAGTTTTCTCAGCACTTTCGAAGGGCCCAAGTGCTGACAGACATCTGTGTTCACACTGCCCATTGTAGCAGTTGTGAAGGTCCCCATGGATCATCCCTCAGCTCTTTCCCTGGCTGCAGCATTCCAGTCTCGGTATCTGCATCAGATTGCTTTACCTGCTATCGAAATGGTGGGTGTGTCTCAGCAGGACACCATAAAACCACAGCAATATTGGCAGGAATTGGGCACAGCTGTCTAAAGATGTTTTGGTCTCCAGTTGCACTGGGTTTTTTGTTTGTCTTTTTGCTACAGATGCAGGCTGCTACTGACAAAAACCAGAGCACACATTTCTTAGGGTGGAGGAAGGGAAGCTATTTTGAAAGATACTGTGATCTACTCAGAGAACACAGAAGTCTGAGCCAGGAACAGAAGCCTTACTCTCAATTTTCTAATTGGTCTTTGCCTGACCTTAGGCAAGCTTCTGCCTTGGTTTCCCATGTTAATATTACTTATGTCACAGGGGCAGAAATGATTATATGCCTGCAAAGCACTTTGAAAGCGTCAGACATCCAATACCTACCTTATAAAATGGTTTTGTAGGGAAAGGAATCCTGGAGACAGATATGCATGAGATGTTCTCAAGTTCTACATGTGTAGTGCTGACTTAGATGAAAGTACAAATAAGCATTAATGCAGGAATTCATTAAAAGAGGACAATGTGATGTTTGGTTGTTTTTTAAGGCATAAAAGTACTTTTGTAACTTTGTTTCTCAAACCATAGTTGTGCCCAGCAGTACCTGGCAAAGCTAAGTAGTCTGATAACCCAATTGTTCTTGTTAGAAAATGCCTATCTAAAAATAATTGTTTATTATTTGCACATGAGAAATGTGAAAAGGCAGCATCAAAACATCTGGAGACTTCAGTCAAAAGAAATTAAGATTTCTGTTCTGACATCTGTTCTAATTAACCTCCAGTGAATTGGATTGGTTTATTAAATATCCTTCTACCAATCTTTCACTCACCATGGAAGCCAATTTCACAGTCAAACAGAAGTGAAAGCCCAAATCTCTGCTGTTTAAACTTCAATAATAATGGAATATTACCACAGTAATAGTTAGATTTCACTGTGGAAAACATGAGGTTAAAGTTGCACTTAAATATGCAAAACTCCCACTCCAAATAGCACAACCACTCATGTGACCTCTATCCCAAGCCATCAGAAAGGCTGTAAAGTCATAAACTTGAACACATAAAGAGAAGCCAAACATGTATTTTCTTCTCTCTCTAGGGCTTTGGGACTAGGACTGGAGTCATCAACATAAGAGCAGAGAAGCAGAGACCAAAGCTTGCAGTGGAGCTACTGCTGTTTCCTCATAAAGTGCAGGATTCAGGGACATTTACAATGCAGAGCTCACACCTCTGGATTTTATTTGTTAGCTGCCCTGAAAGCAGATAAAACCACTGGAACACAGGTACTGTGAAAGACTCTCCACAGGAGTTTGTCTGAAGGCTGTGGGAGGGGTTGTTTATTTTGGGAAGCTGCCCTTTCTTTCCT